TCCTCCTCCTCCTCCTCTCTCCTCCTCCTCCTCCTCCTCCTCCTCCTCCTCCTTCTCCCTCCTCCTTCTACTCCCTCCTCCTCCTCCTCCTCTCCTCCTCCTCCTCCTCCTCCTCCTCCATCTCCTCCTCCTCCTCCCTCCTCCCTCATCCTCCTCCTCCTCCTCCTCCTCCTCCTCCTCCGCTGCTTCTCCTTCTCCTCCTCCTCCTCCTCCTCCTCCCCTCCTCCTCCTCCTCTCCTCCTCCTCCTCCTCCTCCTCCTCCTCCTCCTCCTCCTCCTCCTCCTCCTCCTCCCCCCTCCCCCTCCTCGGGGCGCCTCCGGCTCCGGGGGAAACCGTGCACGCCAACCACGTCTGTTTGCAGTCATCGCGTGAGGCTCCAACTCGAAGAAGAAAAAGCGGCATAAACATAAGTTTTTGGCGCTTCGCGCGGATCTCTTGGATCCGCGCTTGGTGCCCTCGGCGGCGCCTCCGGCGCCGCCCCTGGCGCGGTCCGCGCGCAAGGGAGGGCAACCCGGCGCAGATCCTAGAAATCCGCGCGGAGCGCCAGCAGTTTTTGTTTATACCTTGTTTTCCTTCTTCTAGACACGCCAACCACGTCTGTTAGCAATCATCGCCTGAGGCTTCAACGGCACCCCCTTTTTTTCGCCAGGCAAGCATCAAGCGCCAGGCTTGCTGCGTTCTGCAGGTCAAGCGATCCGACTTGGATCTGGTGACTGAAGCGTGGCCAGCGTGGAAGTTTGAATGGACAAGGCAATTTGGACAGGCACAGAAAGAGGGAGGCCCTGAGGCAGAAAATATACGCTGGCCGCGCAGTGCTGGTGGGAGTGAGGGAGACCGAATCGAAAAACGGCACCCCGCTCCCGCTGCTCTCCTTGTTCTGTGGCGTCCCGCACGACTGGGAGCCCCAGCACGTCGGTATCTGCAGCGTGCGCACCATCGGCTTACGGGGTCGTGGGCTGCGCCGAGCCAAGGCTCTGAGCGAAGCGGAAAGCCCCAGGCGCCCGCGCTCCGACCCCATGGCACAGAGCAGTATCTACTTGATGCTCAACCTTGCCAGCAAGCTTCCGATTAGCGTGGGACATCTGCAAATGGCCGTCGAACATAGCGGCTCCAGGCAAGAAGTGCCCATTGGGTGACTCGAGCGGCGCGTCGGACGCGGCGTCCGACGCGCCGCTCGTCGACGCGTCCGACCAGCCAACAACGACCCTATTACGTTCGCGCGGCGATTTTTTCTTCATACGCCTCTTCTGCGGGTTCGTGGGGGCCGAGACGCCGCCTCACCCTGCACGTCGAGCACGGGGTCCACAGTCTCCTCGAACACCGCCGCAAACGCCTCCTCATTGCCTGCGATGCACTGGGGGACGTCCTCGTCGCCGAGCTTCCTGTCGAGCTCGGGGTCCGCGGCCACCTCGACCAGCGAGTCCACCTGAGTTGCATGCGCCTCCACCTGCGCGTCGCCCACGGACACCACGAGAGCCGCTCGGCGCCGCAGAGCGCCACGGACCGCTTTGGCGGCAGCCGCCTTGCGGCGAGCAAGCGACGCGAAAGCTCCACCCGAGCTGTCCAGCGGCAGCACTGGATCCTGTTCCAGCACCGTTGACGTAGCACAGCGCTGCCGCCCGCCAAGGGCGTCGACCACAGGCATATCCATGGGCAACGTTATCCTGACACGTGCGATACCCGCCCCCACCTCGCACAATTCGTCCACCCCGTCGGCGAAGTTCGCATGACCGCCTTGGCCACGGTGCAACCCTGGTTCGACGAAGACTCTCCGCGCGTCAACCGCGTTCCAGCGGAGCTCCTCGAGGATGATGCCCACCTGGTCGGACTGCACGTCGCCAAGCATGAGGCAAGACGAGAACGTCCTCTGCCTCCGTCTCCGTGCAGGGTCGAATACCCCGGCGTCCACGCTGAGCTAAAGGCTGCCCACCGCGTTTCTGCTGCTCGCCGGCGCCGCCCCCAGCACGGCAGCACGCAATTCCACTGACTGTTGGGGCAGGTGGCGCGCCTGCCTTGGGGGCGGCGAGTCGCGCGCCGTGCTGCCGAGGACCAGAGACTCCTCGGCCTCCCTGCTCGTCTTGGAGCCCACGCCCGCGAGACGGGCCGCCGCCACAGCATGCCTGCCGCGCCGCCCAGGCGCCAGTGAGTCTCCGGTCGGCCGCTCGCGGCTGCCCCGTCTCGCAGCGGCGCTCGCGGCGCAGTGGCCGCGGCCAGGTCCGCGCGCTGGCCGCCGCCCAGCATCGCCCCAGCGCGGGGGCCTCCATGGCCGCTAGCGCGCGCCAGCGAGCACCGCCGAGGACGGATGAGGAGCAGGAGGGAGGAGGAGGAGGAGGAGGAGGAGGAGGAGGAGGAGGAGGAGATGGAGGAGGGAGGAGGAGGAGGAGGAGGGAGGAGGAGGGGGGAGGAGGAGGAGGAGGAGGAGGAGGAGGAGGAGGAGGAGGAGGAGGAGGAGGAGGAGGAGGGGGAGAAGGACCAGCGTAAACCTCAGACGCATCAGCGGTGTTGCAATAAACCCTCCCTCCGAGTTCCCTCTCCATGGGCCCTGCAATAATTTATTTTCATGGCCGGAAGTGCCCCATCGAAAGACAACCGTCTGAGAATGTTCAGTATTGCCCAAACACATTTCCTGGGACTGCAATGCCGCGAATCAGAGTGACTGCTGCGTCCTGGCAACCCTAAACCGTGCTAGAGCATCATTCCTAGGGCATCAACACCGCGAGTCCAGGTGACTGTTGCGGCGTGATAAATCCTAAATCGTGCCAGAACAGTTCCGACGACCTCAACCATACGAATCCTTCAAACTGCCGCAAAGTATCAAGACGGAATCGCGAGAGCCACATTTTGAGAGGGCACCTCCTTCCATCCTTGTAATGTTGCATCCTTTGAAGACGAATGCGCGCGGCGCTGAGGGGAGAGCCACACTTTGAAAACGACCGCCCCCCATCCTTGAAGCTGTTGCAAACTTTTAAAATTATTATGTGCGGCGCGTAGGCGTGAGCCACATGTTGAAAAGGGCCCGCTTTCCATCTTTAAAATTGCTGCACACTGTTAAGACGAATGCGAGCGGCTCTAAAGCAAGATAACATTTTGAAGAAAGCCCCGCCCTCCATCCTTGAAAAGGTTGCAGACTTTAGCGAACGTGCGCGGCGCTGAGGGGATAACCACATTTTCAAAACGGCATGCCCTGCATCCTTGAAGCTGTTGCGAACTTTTGATATAAATTTGTCCGGGGCTCAGGCGAGAGCCACATGTTGAAACGGACCCGCCCTCCGTCCTTGCAGTTGTTGCAAAGTTCAAAGTCGAGGGTCACTAGTTATGACGAAGCCGCAGGCGCAACGCCCGGCCCCTGTTCTACCAGCACGTCTGGGGTAGCGGCAAGAACGAGTTATGTATCTGGACGAGGGATGGAGGGAGGAGGAGGAGGAGGAGGAGGAGGAGGAGGAGGAGCAACAGCAGGATGAGCAAGGGGGTCCAGGTCAGGTGTGCTGCTGACCAGGGCAGCGTTTCAGATTTTGTTGATGGCCTGTCTGAGGAGAAGTGGAACCCTGCCCAGCTCCTCTCACGTGTTGGCCCCGTTCCGCCCGCTCAACAGTCACAAGCTGCTGTGTGAGTTTGCGTTGTTCGGGGCGGCTGGCTTAGACGGCCGCTTCCATCGAGTACACTACAGTACAAGGGGAGGAGGGGGAGGAGGAGGAGGAGGAGGAGGGGGAGGAGGATGATGAGGAGGAGGAGGCAAGAGGAGGAGGAGGAGGGTGAGGCAAGATGATGTCATGATGATGATGCTGATGATGATGATGATGATGATGATGAGGAGGATGATGATGATGATGCTGCTGCTGATGATGATAACTATGATGATGCTGCTGCTGCTGCTGATGATGATGATGATGATGATGATGATGATGATGGTGATGGTGATGCTGATGCTGCTGATGATGATGATGATGAGGATGATGATGATGATGATGATGTGATGCTGATGCTGATGCTGATGCTGATGCTGATGCTGATGCTGCTGATGATGATGATGATGATGAGGAGGAGGAAGGAGGAGGAGGGGAGGAGGGAGGGAGGAGGAGGAGGAGGAGGAGGAGGAGGGAGGAGGAGGAGGAGAAGGAGGAGAAGAAGGAGAAATGATGATGAGGAGGAGGAGGGATTAGGAGAAGGAGGAGGAAGAGGAGGAGAAGGGGGGAGGAGGAGGAGGAGCAGGAGGAGGAGGAGGAGGAGGAGGCGGAGGAGGAGGAGGAGGAGGAGGAGGAGGAGGAGGAGGAGGAGGAGGAGGAGGGAGGAGGAGACATTCGGCTGAATTCGCCTATATCCACACGGTGGTAGCGAACTCAGCACCCGACTAAAACCCCAGGCTGCGGCCCACGGAGGACGGCCTCCCGCCTGACAGTGCCCTGCTCCCTTGCCGGAGACGCCTCGGAGGGCTCCTGGTGGCAGGGGGAAAAACCCTTTCTGGATTCGCTGAAGGTTCTCAAGACCTTTCTTGATGCGGGTCTTGCACTCAGCAACCAAATGGCGTGGGTCCTCCGTGGCAGCGTTACCGCACGCCAGACAAACATGCAACCCAAACTTGGGCCAGAAGTGCAAATTTTGAGAGGAGTGACAAACCTTCCCCCCCACTGTAACCGCCCCACTGACCCGAACCACCCCATGATCAGCAAGACTCGAAATGCCCTGGGCCGCCGCAAAGCACGGCATCGTGCTAAACTCCGCCACCTGAGACACAGGGACAATCGTGTGACACAACGAGCACAGCCACTTACTTTCGACCCGAACCAAACAGTGCTCGCTCCTGCGGAGGGCCCGAAGGAGGCCCTCGGGAGGGAGGAGGAGGAGGAAGAGGAGGAGGAGGAGGAGGAGGAGGAGGAGGAAGAGGAGGAGGAGGAGGAGGAAGTGGGGGAGGAGGAGGAGGAGGAGTAGGGAGGGAGGGAGAGGGAGGGACCCCCAACCGCTCACGCGCGAGGAGGAGGGACCCCCAATCCTCCCAGAGCGAGGTGGCACCGCCCCGCATGCCGGCTGGCCTGTCCGCGCTAGTCCCGGCAACGGGCAGCGCGGCGATGGCGGCGCGGGGCCCGCCGCTGGCCGTGGTCTGCTGGGTGTGTGTTTTCCCCAGCCCTCTTGTGTTGGGGTTCGTTTTCACTCGAGCACAGCGCTCTCCAACCTTCCTCCTCCTCCCCCTCTTGCCTCATCCTCCTCCTCTTCCTCCGCCTCCTCCTCCTCCTCCTCCTCCTCTTGCCTCCTCATCTTCCTCCTTCTCCTCCTTCTCCTCTTGCCTCCTCCTTCTCCTCGTCCTCGTCCTCCTCCTCCTCCCTTTCCTCCTCCTTCTCCTCCTTCTCCTCCTCCTCCTCCTCTTCCTCCTCCTCCTCCTCCTCCTCCTCCTCCTCCTCCTCCTCCTCCTCCTCCCCCCTTCTCCTCCCCCTTGTCCTCCTCCTCGTCCTGCTCCTCCTCCTCCTTCTCCTCCTCCTCCTCGTCCTCCTCTTCCTCCCTTCTTCTTCTTCTTCTTCTTCTTCTTCTTCTTCTTCTCTTTCCTTCTCCTCGTCCTCCTACTCCTCGTCCTCCTCCTCCTCCTCCTTCTCCTCCTCCTCCTGCCTCCTGCTTCCTGCCTCGTGGAGGTCCAGCGGAGTGGGGGGGGGGCATGCAGACGCTGGCTTCTTCTTCTCCCCTCATTCGTCCTGCTTGCGCCACAGCCCCGTTGAGACCTCGCGAATACATGTGGGGCTGCGAAGCGTGAAGTTGTCGCCACTTTTGTAGGCTCCCGGGAGGGCGCGCGGAGTGGAGTTACACGCGCACGCAGCCGGGACCTCGCGCTCCCTGGGGGGCTGCGAAGTGTGAAGACCGTCGCCAATTTCGTGGGCTCCTGGGAGTTCGTGCGGCGTGGAGTGGTACGGGGACCCAGTTGAGACCTCGCGGCTCCCTGGGGGGCTGCGGAGTGTGAAAGCCGTCGCCACGTTCGTGGTCTTTTGGGAGGTCGCGCAGAGTGGAGTGGTACGGGGATCCAGTTGAGATCTCCCGGCTTCCTGGGGGACTGCGAAGTGTGAAATTGTCGCCACTTTCGTGGGCTCCTGGGATTTCCAGCGGAGTGTTGATTTTGTACATTTCTGGGAGCATGCGCACTGCGAGTCCTTCAACATGCTTGTCTGTAGTGAGCGGTTCTAAAAACAGCCCCCATGTGTTTAGAAAGAGTTGGGTATGACACCGGGTAATTGTCCCTCTCCTTCTCCTCCTCCTCCTCCTCCTCCTCCTCCTCCTCCTCCTCCTCCTCCTCCTCCTCTGGAGCCTCTGGAGCCTCTGGAGCCTCTGAGTCCGTGCCCCGCAGTGCAAGACACGCACCTCTACAGGAAAATCAGTGCACTGGGAATGGGACCCCCACCTCCCTGCTGGTGGGGTCCACTCCGCTGCGGAGCATCTTCAATGCCCTCGCTCCTGCAGCCGTGGGACGGGAGCAGCGCGCGGTCAAGTCTTTGACCTGTCTCCGTGCGTGTCTCCCGCACACAGAACAATAAAAAAGGTCTGACTCGCCCAGGCTCCACATCCGATGAGACTCATGCACTTGGGCGAGGACTCTGGGGATGCCTGGGCACACACTCTGAACAACTATGCTACGTTTCTTCGCCGTTTTTCCGCAGACTCGACAGCCCCACACACTATTCGTGGTGTGCAGGAGATGTTCTTCGTCATCTGGGTCGATCCTAAGCTGCAAGACGGGCTCTGCAGGACCTATCAAGGCTTGCCTAGGCTGTTTCGCTGTCGGCTTCTTAAACGGCGTTACGTCTGGAAAACTCAACTCGCTGAGCCTCTTGAGGGTCCCTCCGATGAGCCTGACGAATTGTCTTCCTATATTTTCCGCTGCTGCTAACCGCTGCTCTACTTGGGCTGCTGAAAGGGTGCCCCATGGCCCCGAGCTTAGCGTATTTATCCGCTGCTCTGTTCCCGTGAAACCAATCTTCTGGAAAGCCATTCTGGTGACACCAAGACTTGGACCTGTGGGAGGGCATCCAGAGGACCTCGACGTTTTCTGGACCGATGTCATCTAGCTTCCAGAATATGTCCCTCCAGATCTCCCAGAACGGCTGCTTCGGATCGCACATGACCGCTGGCCCCTTCTCGTGGCCCAAGATGATGTTCTTATGATCGGTGATGATCGTGCCCTTCACCCCGCCAAGCAGGTGGAGGGCCTGGAGCAGGGCGAAGTGCTCGTCGAGACCTGAGGACTGCACTATTCCTGGAACGGGGCCGTAAGCTGCTGCCAGCACGTCCTCGGTCCCTGCTCGGATCGAAACTGCTGCCCACCCCGCTCTTGTCAGCCACTCGACATCTGGGTTTGACCTGAACCATCGACGAAAATGAGAGACGTGAACCTGCCCCTGGGAGGATAACATCTCATTTGGCATTCGCTGGCCTGGAGCGGGGGTGGCATGTCATCTCGCTGATTGTCGACCACGCCGAAGGTGGTGAGGACCGCATCCGGGTTTTCGCGGCCGATGCTGATCAGCTCTTGGAACCCTTGCTCGCGCCTCCAGCTGGCGAGCCCGTCGCACAGGTATAGCGTATGAGGAATCGTGCCTGGGCCTCCACGACAGCAGCTGCACTGCCTATCTACCGTATACCGCTCCTGGAAGAGTTTCTCCTGAGTCCAGAGGCCCCCGGACATGTGCATGCTGACCAGGTCCGCCTGAACAAACTCTCCCTGCCCACGGAATTGTCTGAGCTCAGCTTTTACAGGATCCAGGAAGCGAAACCTGACCATCCATGATGAGCTGCTGCTGCTGACTCCTGCTGTCTCCTCACTCCCCGGTGGATTACTTTATTTAAGTCTTGCATACTTACTTCTCTGAGATCTACTGGGAGCCCCTGAGGATCTTGCCACTGCGAGAAAGATGATGCTGTCCATCCCAGTCTGCGAAGCGTCTGCACAACTGCTCCTGCTGGGCCTATGGCAGCCTGCCAACCACTCGTCTCTGTCTTCAGCGCCGCTGTGAAGATGCGAGACATTAAATTCGCTGGAATCCACTTCTGATGCAGAGCTTGCCACCAGGTGGCCAATGGCAATGTGTTGGCGATGTATGATGGATCAAGATCTGCTGGGTCTGCTAGAAGAAACTGAACTGCGCGGGGTCGGCCTTTCGCCTTCCCAAACAACGCGAACGCTGAGGCCGCCCTGAGATCTTTCAAATCCTTGTCCGTCATCCCCATCACCCTCACCCCATAAGTAGCTGCCGAGATTTCTCCTGTCCTGTATACCCTAGCCAAACCTTTGCTATGGTGCCGAAGTGCTCTAAATCTATGAGCTCGTCGTCGAACCTTGCTAATTCTACCTTGACTGATCTTCTTGCCTTTGCGGAATTGCTGGCTAAAATCGCGACCGAGGTTCTTGATGCTGTTGCGCACTAGGAACCGATAAACCCGCAAATCTCGACCTAGCTTGTCTGCCAATGCTGGGCAGGAGGACGTGGCTTGACACTTCTTCTCCGAGACAACGAGCTCCAGCTTTTCTAACTGCCTGCAGAGATCTGGGATCGCCTTTGCCAGCGAGGCTCGTACCCGCTGTGCTGACCCGACCGCCGCTAGTGTGATGCCATCTACCATGACGTACATCGTGAGCGATGGCCATCGCGCCTGCATGTACTCTAGCGCGTCGTGCACAGCTACCCTGCGCATAGTTGTGGCAAACGAGCAGCCAGCCATACTTGAACGAGAACGAGGGATGATGTTTGAAACCACTTCCCGAACTTTGAGTCTTCTGGGGCCTCCATAAACCCTGATGAATAGACGGGCCCTTCTTAAGTTGATATCATGTTACTTACACGCTTGCCAGAGCACGCCATGCGGGATCTGCTCATAGCACTTCTCAAGATCTACCAAGCCTGAGCCCGCGCAAGCTCCAACTGACGTGGCGGCCTCTGAAACTGCCGCCTGCTGCCAGACCGCTCTTTCGCAGCTCTTGCCCTTGCCCCCGTGCATGCATGCTAGGTCGTGCTCCCTCCCCCACTGCTGAGCTTCATCCCTCCGTATCCTCCCCAATATCCGAATGCCCGTCGCTAGCGCTCCTATTGGTCTGAAGCCCCCATCTGGCTTCTTGAGGAACGCGATCAGGACGAGGTCGCACTGATCTGGGATCAACACCTCCGATTCTATCGCCGACGGGAAAAGGCCAAAGACTCTTTCAAGGCGTCGTCGCCTAGGAGCTGGAGGACCTTCGGGCTCCACCCGTCGATGCCTATGGCCGCGCCTTTCTTGAACTTTCTCCGAACTGCCCTGGTCTGGTCTGCCGTTGGGGCTGGGGGAGGGGCTTCAAGAGGTACCTGAAGGTCTCGCTTGCCAAGTCTCTGGGTTTCTCCAGCGTGCCAGATCTCCTTCCGCTCCGAGACGAGCTGCTTCGCTGTGTCCACGGGCCCTGATGGGTCCTCCGTGGGCCCCATTGAGGTCTGGGGCCCATCCTTGAGGCTCCTTGGTCCATTTGTAGAGCCCCCCTCCTCCAGAGTCCAGGGATTGGTTGACCCACGTACTCCACTCCTTAGTCCCCCTCTGTTTAAACTCTGCCTCCTCGGAGTCCGCGATGGCCCGAGCGGCCTCCAGGGCGGACTGCTCATCATCGATGCCGCTGTGCGGACCTAACCAGAGTTCGTCGTGCAACTCTCGCCAGCACGCATGGTCCTTCAAATTGGGGTGCCTCCAGTGGATTCTATCCAGCAGTTCCCGAACTCCTCGATCGTCCCAAGGGTGATTCTTGCGCAGGAGATACCCAAGCTCCTCCAACCAAACCTGGTACTTCCGAATCGCCCTGGCTGCTTTTGAACACTTCGGAAAGGGCCCCTTGGCGTGTTCCCGAATTGGTTTCCCGACGATCTTGTAGCCAGTGCCCTTCCCCAGATACTTGGCCCATTCGTTCTCTGGAATACTCAACACGTATACTCAACACGTCGCAGAGTTCGGCCTCCATGCGGTTGCAGAAAAGGCCGTGCAGCTCTGTGAAACTCTTCGCCGACAACTGGCCAGCGAACCCCTCGAATAAGCTTGAAATACTTTGCCAATCCTGCGGCGGCTGGACTGGTCCTATTGGCCTCTCGACTGAAAAGGGCATCGGTAACT